CGGTTTTTAACAAGAAGTCGAAAATATCACTTTTTACCAAAAATGATAAAAATATTCACCAAAATTAGAGAATTAAAGATATCATTACAAAATGAACAATTCTGAGAGAGGTCCACATGTAGTACCTATATATGTAATATCAAAGCAATTGCACTTGCGGTTTTTAACAAGAAGTCGAAAATATCACTTTTTACCAAAAATGACAAAAATATTCACCAAAATTAGAGAATTGAAGATATCATCATGAAATGAACAAATCTGAGAGTGGTCTACCCAAGGTACATATACACCAAGTATCAAAGCATTGAGGCTTGTAGTTTTCAAGAAGAAGTCGAAAAAGTAAAACATTGACACGGACGACGACGACGGACAATCACTCATATGATAAGCTCCGCTCGACAAAGTCGACAGCGGAGCTAAAAATTGATGTGAAGTACAATTTATATTAGTACCCTAAAGTACATGGTACAAGAGAACATTACAAATCATAGAATAACCAATTTTACACCCCCCCCCCAACATCAATCAACATACCGGTAGTGATTAAATAAATAAATACCACTATTACACACCCGCCCATTATAAATTAATTTTTACGTTAAAATTACTGACATGATTATTTTATTTGAAGGGAATACTGTATTTGGTTTTTGTCGCAGCATTTTTAGAACTTTATAATAAGAGGGCAATCAAGAAAACGGTATCACAAGAGTTGAACATCACCAACTGTTAAAAACACAAAATGAAATGTTTGTGTACGCACACTGAGACAAATCCTGGAAGTTTACAGTACTAAGTATTTCCTTTACCAACATACATTGTTCAAATGCCAAAAGATGTTTTTAAATAGCATGTATATAAGATTCAAACAATCATTGCCAACTAGTCAAATGCTTTTTTAATTTAAAAATACAAGTAACACAAAAAACTTGTATGTTAGTTTGTTTTCTTGGAAATAAGAGAAAATTGCACAAAATAATGCACACAAGTGAGTTGAATTAGAAAAGACCACCAAGATGTAATATTGTACTGTTTTTCAATAAGTATTATATATCTTATAGACTGGGTTGCTATGCTGTAACAAATTACTGTAGCTCTATGAAACTATGTTTTATTTCAGGTTTGTCTTTTTAAATTTAAGAGAAAATGTCTTTGTTTGATATCTATTTATAGTTTGTTTATTTAATTAAGTACATGTATACATGTAACTTCAATTATCACAGTCATTGTACAGCTCATGTCAGTAAATAAACAATTATATGAATGTCGCATGAGACCCATATCAAACATGATGCTGTGCGATGACTGTGTTGGCGATAACCAATGATTCCAAATCAATGGGATTCAAAGTGGTACGTGTGGTTTGAAAGATGAGATACAAGTTATAGAGTTATGCAAGAAAGAATTTTGTTAAGCCTGCTTTAGAATACTAGTAATCACCAGACAGACTGTACACAACACTGCTTATTATTGTAAGAGTGTATTTGTTCAAGGAATTAGCTTGACCACATAAACTGACATCCATTGGAGTCTACGACCAATTCACAGCTCAACAGAGAACAGAATCAACGAATACTAGTACCCAAAAACATAATTTGAAATATTTGTTTTCATAATTTCCATAAACAATGAGCATCCTGACCTCCACATAAACATGCAGTTATTTGATTTGTTGTTTTAAGATTAATTGGAAGAATACATTCTTCTTAAAATTAGTAAATTTGAAATGTAGCACCGGTATATGCCTTCAAAATCTGTTACGTGATGAATAACAATTGACCAGTTTGATAATTTCGTGAGAGGAATTATCAACTAAGTGCCCAACTTATAAAAAATCGTTTTTTTGAGTTGACATCACTCAGTTAGTGGAATTTAGTAATTTTAAAATTCATTTTTGTACAGAGCAAGAAAATTGGATATAAATAACTGAACCCAATTTAAGAAACTCTGTGAATTCAATTACAGCCACCACTTCAGTCATTCCAAGTCTCAAAAAACCTATCTGTATTTTGAAAATCTTTAAAAATTATTTTTTAAATAAAGAGTAAACGTCTGTGGTTGAACACCGTGAAAGTCGTCGTCGCTATTCTTTCAACAGTTTATTGTTGTCATTTACACGGCGGTATCAAACGATCAGCCAACCATGACTCTTAAACTGTTCCTTTATGTCACAGGGTATGCTGCATCTCAACCAAAATAAGGTGGAAACTAAAAAACCTTTTAAAGATTTCAGTGTGAGTTTCCATGTATAATATCAATTTTCCAACATTGGGTCAGAGGTGCCCAACATATAAAGAAGTTGAGTGTGTACAAGTCGGGTTTGGTTAGCCACCTCAGTACCCAAAATGGTCAGTTTCTTGGACATCAATCAAATTTTACTAAAATACTTGAATTCAATCCAATATATATGCTGTATGTCAACATCCACAGCTCTTATTGTTTATGGTGTCTCTGTCGTTTTTTACTGTAATATGGCCACCATCCCGTCTATCGTCTGTTGTGTTGTTTGCATTGATACTATGAGCCGCAAGAATCTCATCAAGAAGAAATCTAAATGAAAAACAAATAAAGAATATTAAATATTATGATTTCCATGAAAATAGATAATACCTGTAATAATAAATAGATAATGTCATTTAAAATAATATCCTAATATAAATAGGTATGAAATTATAATAAAAATAATGTTGACTCACTTCATTGCATCGTTGACATTGGCACCTTCCTTGACTGACATTTCTGTCCAACCTATAAAATCATTATCTTTGGCCAACTGTTCAATCTCGTCTTCAGACACAGGCCTGTCTGGTAAATCAGACTGAAAGACACAAATAAAATTGACAGAACATACTGAAAAACATGCTTGTTAAAGGGCGATAGTCGTCACGCTACGCATACGTGACATTTGTGTTGATAAACATTGATTATCCCACAATTCAAGGCACTTTTCCAATGGAAATCACAAGTATGAGGTTTGACCTGGGCACGACTTGCACTAATTACTGCCGGTAACTCCTTCTATACCTTCTAATCACCTACACAAATACCTAATTCAAGCTTGGTAATGTCTCGGTTTGTACCGGTACTCGTTGATCTGCCCAACAGTCAAAGTCGCCATCTTTGTTTATACAAGACCAATATATCTTGCACGCTTTATGTTAGCTAAACTGTAATTTTGCTAATTCAAAATAACAAGTAGAAACATAGTCAGGATGAACTGCTGCTATTAAGAACAGTCAAATATATTTTACTTTCTGTTTCTAATTGAGCTTACATTGAATTTGAATTGCATATCTACTCGTGAATCCTAGAAAACATGTTTTTAAAGTGTTACTGTAGAATACTTTATTTTCGCTTGGAATTTATTTTCGCTATTTTCGCTGAAGGGATGATTCCGTGAAAATAAAATCCAGCGAATATACTTTTTTTCCTATACTTCACATTAATCTCATCAAAAATCAGTGAAAATAAATTCCAAGCAAAAGGCCCAAAAAGCCTTTTCAGCGAAAATTAATTCCAGCGAAAATAAAATATTCCACAG